GACTGGCTGAGTCACCCATCTGACTTTAATGCCTAAGGCTGGACTAGAACTCACAATCTCCTGGTTTCTAGATCTTCTTAACCACTACACCAGTGATGGCCAACCTTTTAGAGACCGAGTGCCCAAACTGCAACCCAAAACACACTTATGCATCGTCGAGTGCCGGGTGGGTGTGGCCCATTGGGTGGCGTGGCTGCAGTGATAATGGCAGACTGGGTGGGACTAAAAAGTTCAATCAATTCCAACTTTGCAAGATCTTTTTTTTCCCGCGAGAAGTTGAAATTGATTGATTGATTGATTGAACCTTTTTTTTTTTTTTGCACATGGTGGCAGAGGCCTAAAACGAAAAGGTTTTATAAAACCCAGCTGAAGGCCTAGGACTGGGGTGACGGCGCGCATGTCCACAGAGAGGGCTCTGAGTGCCGCCTCTGGCACCCTGCCATAGGTTCGCCACCACTGCACTACACCAAACTGACCCACACCGGGGATTTATTTTAGGTGCTCTTAAGGCCAATTGGCAGTTTGTTTTGGGTCGTTCTAGGCAGCTCAATGCCACAAACAACAGTTTCTGAGAAACATTCATATGTGAGCCCACAAGCTATCTATTCTCTTTATCTTCTCAAAAGTTTGCTTTTGAGTGCTGGTGGATTTTAACTAAAAGAGCTGAAATGTTTGTTCAGGGAATTTCAGAAGGCTAAGAGATAAGCTTGGCAAAGATTTTGTTTTCAAGGGCTTTTGCAAGAATTCAACTCCTGCCCAATACTTTGTTGAGATAAATTATACAGTCAGTTATAAGATATGCTGATTGGCAAACATAAGAAGCTGCCTTAGGCCAAGCATCGCTGCAGCTAGCTGTCTATTATCAACAGCAGTGTTTCTCAACCATAGCACTTTCAGATGTGTGAACTCCAATTCCTAGAAATCCCCAGCCAGAAGAAGTCATGGAATGAATCTGGAGCTTCTCCACATGCATTTCTTCTAGCACCTCTCAGATACATCCAGGAGTGTGTTGAAATTATACTCATATTAGCTTAGCAAAATGGGTCACCAATCTGACATGGAGATTTGCATTATCAAATTATAAAAGAATGCAACTTGCTTCATGGGTCCCCAAGGTTGAGATAGATCCTCTACTCCACCTCAAGAAACTGATAAGATCCCTCTTGCTGATTGACAAATGCTACACCTCTATTTTTCACCAACTCCAGACAAAGCACATTGCCAAAAGCTGCCAACCATTTATTTTATAACCACCTTTCTTGCACTGGTTACAATTCATTACTGTTTTGAAAACAAAACAGAAAAAAATGTATTCCATATCTGAGGATACTTTATAGAACATAGAATCATAGGGCTGGAAGGTACCTTGGAGGTCTTCCAGTCCAACACCTTTCCCAAGCAGGAGACCCTATACCAGGGGTAGGCAACCTTGGCTCTTTTATGACTCGTGGACTTCAACTCCCAGAATTCCTGAGCCAGCCATGCTGAGGGGAAAGGGAGAGGTTCCAAACTGAGCCATGCTGGCTCAGGAATTCTGGGAGTTGAAGTCCACGAGTCATGAAAGAGCCAAGGTTGCCTACCCCTGCCCTATACCATTTCACACAAATGGCTGTCCAATCTCTTCTTTAAAATCTCCAGTGATGGAGTATCCACAACTTCTGGTGGCAAACCATTCCACTGATTAATTGGTCTGTCAGGAAATTTCTCCTTCATTCTATCTAGGTATCACTGGGGCAAGGCGAGAAGCATGACTGATGACCCACACAATGCCAAATGTCTTGCTGTGATTAAAAAAAAAAAAGGGGGGGAGAATTCTTAGGTTCTAAATCCAAACTTTTCTTTGTAAAATACTGTCAAGAATGTCACTCAAAACAGATTTTTGGTAAACAAAAAGGCAACTTTATTTCTCCAAAAAACAAACACTTTGAATCAAGAGTCACAGCGCTGATACAGAAAATACATTAAAAAAACAAAAACAACATAACTTAATGTGAAGCAAAGATTGAATTCAGGAGATTTGGGGGCTGCGAGACCTGTAGATTATTGGGTGAAAGTAGGAGAGGAAGAGGGCACCATCTGGGAGGAGGCCTGGAGGATAAGAGGCTACCAAATGGTGGAGGTGTCTGTCAGGGATCCTGAAGCTGGCACCAACGTGAAATGTAGTGGCACACTCAGGTGAAAGCTCCAGACATTATGTTCTCGCTGCCTCACGCACACACAATTGTACCATTTTAAGGCAAGTGGGCCAAACATCCACCAGGAAGAGGCAAAAGAAAGTATCAGTTGGATGCTCAGGGTTACAGACTTTTCATTAAGTCTGAAGTGACAAGGTAAAAGAGGATAGCTCAGCCTTACGATCCTGCAGAAATGGTGATTTTTTTTTCACAGACTCTAAGGCAGTGGTTCTCAACCTGTGGGTCGGGACCCCATTTGGGGTCGAACAACCATTTCACGGGGGTTGCCAAACAAGGCTGTCCGCCATTTTTCCCCCTTTTCTTTGGCCACGCCCCTGGCACCTGGTGATGTATAAGTGGTTGGGGGGTCACCACAACATGGAGAACTGTATTATGGGGTCGCGGCATTAGAAAGGTTGAGAACCACTGCTCTAAGGTATTTTTAGAGTACAACCATTAAATGCACAGGTATCCAAATACAACTGAAGTAGACTCAACCAAACAATATAATAAACGCCCCAAGCACTTTCATCTCAGTCTAAGAAGCTTCAAGTAGTTTGAAATATTTTGACCATCATCTCAGATAAGGTCTGCCAGAAAGTTTGCCAATTTTAAACCAGGGTTCTTGCGAGTTTACAAAAAAATATACCAGGTCAGGGCTGTCCAATTGAGTTGAGACTTGAGTTCAATTCCCAGAATTTCCTAGCCAGCCATATTGGCTGAGGAATTCTGGGATTGAGATCTAGAAATCTTAAAGTTGCCAAAGTTGGACACCCCTGAATTTAGTAAATCCATTATTGACCCTATATTGAACAAGAATTCCTGAAAGGAAGCCTGTGATATGTACCCCAAATGTATTTATTTACTTAATTGGCATTTATTATTTTTACAAATAACTCCAGGCAATGAACATATCCAATACTTCTTCCTCCTCCTTTTCCCCCTGCAACAACAACCCTGCAAGGTGAATTGGGCCAAGAAAGAGTGACTGGCCCAAAGACTTTCATGGCTAAGGCGGGACCAAAACTCACAGTCAACTCACAGTCTCCTGCTTTCTAGCTTGGTGCTTTAACCACTAGGCCAAATTGGCTCTCGAAAAGTCTGAAAAACCTTGTTGGGTGGCATCTGATTAACCTGTTCCACAAATGAATCCTGGGTTTTTCTTTGTCTTGAAACAAAACAAAATGCCTGAAAACATGTTTTGAATTCCCTTGGCTTCAGGAATAACGGTTTCTGGCATCGAGAGTAAACCATCACATTTTGCATTTCTCTCATGGACTATGTCTAGTATCTAGTCTAGGAATCTGGCCAACAGACAAAGTAATGCAGATTGTGTCTCTAGCCAAACAAACTCTGCATCAAGCAGGTACCACACAAAGTTGTGTTGGCTTCTAAGCTCACCTCCCTCTCCAACTAGCTGGGCAACCTTTGGCCAGGCCTTCAATAGTTAAATTTAGCTTTTGTAACCCGAGTTGTTTGCTCCAAACAGAATCTTATATATATTGCAGAAATGCCTGGAAAGGTTCACATTTTCCTGGGAACCCAACTTCATCACAGTTGCTATTTGAAGCTGATTACTGCTGAGCCATAGTTAGAAGGGTGAAAGGAGGGGGCAGATTGTTGCTTGTTTTGCATTGTATGACTTTAGGGCTTAGTACCAGTCTAAAACTCAGATTTTAATCCTAAGATTTCAAAAAGGAAAGGAATTGGAAATAAGGGGTGAGGAACTTGTGGTTCTCTAGATGTCGACTTAGGTCTTCTATAATCTCCAACTTTGAAGCCATAAGGGCTAAAGTGGGTGGGTGTTAGCAACCCATAATACCTAAAGAAGTTTCCATCTCCTGTAATAAGCATGCAGAGTGAGTAAAAAGCCAGAGCTAAGAAATTTTCCAGGATTTAGAAAAAGTTCTCACACCAGACCAAAGTGAAATGTAATACAGAGGAAAAAATTAAAAAGGAGCCAAGGGCCAGGATCTAACTGACATGTAGTTTTCTAGTTGCTGGATTCCTATCAGCTCCTGACATCATGCCCAATGGGTCCATTGGAGTTAGGATAAAAATATCTTAAACCCTCCCATTCCTAGATGCTAACGTTTGAATTGATGGACATTTAATTCCTTCTCAGAGCAAGAAGAGTGAGTAATACAGTAGCAGGAAGCTCAATCATCTTTTTTTTTCATCTTAACGAACAACTTTCCCTTTAAGCGGAACTTATAGCTTTGCCTCCGAAATGAGTTAAATAAAACTATGAACCTCTATAACATTGCTTGAGGCAAAGTAGAGAGTTATAGGAGGGAATGAAAAGACCCATATTTCAAATTCTCCTCATCCTACTCTCTATTTGCCAATAACCTGATGAATATTGTTAGAGCATGAAGTTTAGAAGATCCATTTTGACCCTAACAGAAACCTCCTGCATGATCCATGCTAGCTAGCCATGATCTCTTATACTGTAGTTGAGGGATCATAATTTTGCAATTGAACATTCCAAATGGTTCCTCCCACACCAAGATGCAGTAGAATCCAATCAGTCACATATAGGGAATTGCAGCTCAGCGGAGACTTCACATACTCAGGCTAACCAGCACAAAGCTATGTTCTGAGGACAGTAAGAGGGTTGATGCAAGGTCAATCTCCCATTTGGCTGACAAAACAGACAAAGGTTAGAGTAGTGTTTCTCAATCTTAGCAAATATTGAGATGTGTGGACTTCAATTCCCAGAATTCCACAGTCAGCATCTTAAAGTTGTCAAGGTTGAAAAACACCAGTCTAGTTCAGAGGTCCCCAACCTTTTGGGCACCAGGGACCGGTTCCGTGGACAGAGGGTTTTCCACAGACTGGAGGGTGTGTGGTTTTGTCTGTTGCCTGCATCCCGCAGATGGGGCTTTGCTTGTTTGTGCGGCCCAATTGCTGGCATGCTGCAGCCTGGTACCGGTCCATGGACTGGGGGTTAGAGACCCCTGGACTAGTTCATTTCTCCCCTCGCCTCCTCCAAACAGGGCAGGCTAAGGGAGAAAGGGCTGAGGACAAATAAAGCTCACTCTATTTGGACTGGGGCAGTATTGAGCCACTTTTTAAACATGTTACAATGGAAAGGGGGAGGACATCACCAGCAAATATCAGTGATAGGGGAAAAACAAAATCTGGCCACTCCCCACCTGACCGTGTCCTCAGTGATCAGTTATTGCTAGTTCAGGGGGACGAGACAGTTACTCAAGGCAGTGGTGATTTGGGCTGGCTTATAGGAACAAGGTGTACAATTCTCTGCAAATAAAACAAGAGCACAAGGGAGAAGCTAAGCCAAGCTTCTTTCATGCTAAATTATTTTATTACAGAGGGTAGTTAAAAAAAAAAGATAAAAAAGAAGTTTAAACTGAGTTCTGGCCACCTATAATCTGAAATGATACAAGTCACTTCTTAAATCCAGGGTCTCATTCCATTGCATGAATAGATCAGGTGAAAATCCCAAAGGTGCTTTTTCAAAAAACAATTGGACTATGTTTTTTCCTTGAATTTGAATTTCAAGGAAAAAAGAAAACCCAAGAAAGTCCAGCTGCCTTTTTGAAAAGCACCTTTGGGACAACTGTGACCTGGATGATTTGAGAATCTCCGTAGACATTCAACAATCTCTCTTCCAGCCCGCAGATGACTGTCTCATCAAAAAGGAGATGGGCTTGACAGAAACATTCCCATTTCTACAGCTGTCAATATAAGCTTTCAGAATAGCAGGGAGCAGACTGTAAAGAAGACAAGAGTTTCACAATGTCCAAAGCTCAAACACTTGAGCACAAGGAGATAATGGGATCTAATAGCCAAACAACACAGTTTTACATGAGGAAAAGAACTTCTTAGAAAAGGACAAGAAAAAAAAGAGAACAGAAGCAAAGATCCTAGGGGATTGGGAACAGAGATTCATGTACTTGAAGTTAATTTATTGATCTGGGAAATCAGTCCCACATTACAATAGTCTTCTGTCTTGTTTTGGAGTGGGAAAAGTAGGAAGAGAGAATATTCCAGCCAACTAACAACAAACCCACATTCTTCTTCTAGTTTTACCTCATCTGTAAGCCACCATCCATTCTGCAGCTGAGACATTTCCATATTTGAAAGGAGAACATCTGAAACACAGTGATCTTGGGATCTGAAGCTTAGAAAAAGGAAATGTAGTGTAGTCACCAGTTACTCTAGTGGCCAGCTTGTTTTAAATTCAGCACATCCATTGCTATCCTCACATACACACCCAGAGCACATCTCTGCTCCCTATCCTTAAGAGAGCTTTAGGAGTTACCCGCTTGAAATGTTCAAAGTCCTACATTCAAAAGTTCTGTAGCAAGTTGAGACTAAAGACAAAGAGTAAAGCCGTGTCCATGGCAGAAGGATCTCTTTGGTGATCTTTGCCTCAGCTGGTTCAGGACCATCTTCATTGCAAAAAAACAAAAAAGATGTAGACAGGGCAGAGGATATTCATTGCACAATTCATTGAAATGCTGCCATCTCCAACTTTGGTGCACACCAAGCTGGTCATCAAGGGACATCAGCATGGGATGCAGTGACCTCCTCTAATTTTTGAACAGGAGCTGGCCACCTCAACATCAAACTCTGAAACCTTGGGCCACCATTGGCAAAACCAAGAAATCACAGGTGGCTCCCCAGGTGATGATGATGAAACTGAGGTTGGTTTCCTTCACACATCAAGGGAACAGTTCATGTTGAACTCACCTCTGCCTCACAATGTCGCTTTTGGCAAAGCGACTCAAAAAGTCCACCACCATATAAAACGCTTCCAAAAATAGCCACAGGTAAAAGGTGAGGTAACTTGATTTTTTTCACCAGACATTCCAGAAACAGGTCTTTGGAAGAAAGCTCCCTGGTCCAGGGCAAGGCTGCCTCACTCACGAAGAAGGGAGTCAAGTCCAGTCAGGTCATGTAGCGGGTGATGGCACGCAGAGCATACAATAGGGCTGCCTGCATACGAGCCTCCAAAAGAAGCAGATTGACATGCACCTAAAGGCAAGGAGAGGCATGATAGAAAGCGATGTGAGAGTTGCAACAAGCAGAGAATCCTGGCACCACAACCTGGCATCCCAGAAAACTGCTTAGATCTCAAAATATCAGGCACAAGCAACCAGAATCATTCCACAAATAGGCTGAAATAGATACTTTTTTGTTAATCACTTATATTACAAGAATCTTGCCAAACTGTCCGGGAAATGGCAGATATAGACTTAAAAGGTTTGACCTCCAATGTTTCCTCCCCTGAATCGACTCCAAGCTGGAATATCTCTTTACTCGCCCTAGAGCAGCAGTTCCCAACCTTTTCTATACCCCACGCCCCTAGAGCGTTTCTGATATATTCTCACACCCCTTACAAAAAATTATGCATATACACTATAATTTTGAAACTTCAAACCCAAGTTTTCACCCCCCCTGGAATATCGTCTTGCATCCCCGGTTGGGAACCCCTACCCTAGAGGGACCCCCTCTCCTTCAGCTGGTGAATCCACCACACAGAGGGATCCACTACTTAGATATCAAAGGGATCTATTACCACTTCTTTACTTAGTATGCCCCTTATTTGGTTCTTGTTTTCTTTTCTTTTCAGGATTACAGCCAAGTGTTTTGCAACTCTCAAATGTCCCTAAGGGACAGGTAAGCAAAATTTTTGGCAGTTTAGGATTGCACCCTTAACACCTGAGAGGAACTCAAAGATCACCCTGGGCTGGGTTGATGATGCAACTTAATGGGTGAGGTGCAGATGCTTATTTTCCTGGGTTTGCAGGTGAAGTTTAAAGCCTGTTTTTTGTTGTTGTTGTTGTTCTGCTGTTTTATGTGTACGTTAGGCTTATACATCCGTTGTTATTTGCTTCCTGTCCCAAAAGAGCCAAAAATTGTGAAAGCATAAAATTGTGCTCTTCTGAGAAATTGGGATCTTTTGCTCACAGCCGAGTAGAAATCCAGAATATTGTTGTGGTTGGATAGGAAGAAAGTCACCAAATATAAACACACCCCTCCTGATCCAATCTTCCTTCCTCTCTTCCTTTCTTTCTCCAAAGCAAGGCCTGTTCTGGGCATCCTTCATAAATAAGAACTCTTCTTGCCAAGAGTCAATATGATATCAGTAATGTCCTTAATATAGCTATGAAGAAATGGTGTAATGCAATATTAAGATGTGTGGATTCAACTCCTAGAATGCCCCAGCCAGCCATGAACTCGACACAACTCAAAGTTGCCAAATTTGAAAAACATTGTGTGCTAAACCATAAATTCGGATTACATTCTACAGTGGCTGAGTTCATCTACAGCAGTGGTTCTCAACCTGTGGGTCGGGACCCCATTTGGGGTCGAACCACCATTTCACGGGGGTCGCCAAACAATGCAGTCCGCCATTTTGTCCCCCTTTTCTTTGGCCACACCCCTGGCACCCGGTGATGTATAAGTGGTTGGGGGTTACCACAACATGGGGAACTGTATTATGGGGCCGTGGCATTAGAAAGGTTGAGAACCACTGATCTACAGTCTAAACCAGAATCAAAGAAAACATATTCTCACTTAATGCAACATGCAACACCAATGTTGGTCAATCAAGCATGGAAGCCAAACAACCCATAACCCAGTAGAACTCGCTTTACCTTTTCTGAATGTTTGAAGTGTCTCCAGAAATGGGTGTACATTCTTTTAGTAGCTTTTTCCGGGTAACAGGCCACAGTTTTGATGTAGATCTTCAGGCTACGTTCCAAAAGCTGGTTCACTTCCCTATAATCATAGTCATCATACCTACAAGAGATGACATATGAACTTTACAATTGATCGGCCAGCTGAGATGATCAACTTCCCATAGCCCAGATACCTTTTAGATATGATGGCTATAATGGCAAAACCATTATATCATTGGCCAAGATGCATGGGAAAAAATCCAGCTTGTTGCCTTCTGTGTAGATACCATATATTAGGGAAGGTTAGGTGGGCAGCAGAATCCTAAATCAGCGATCGGGGATTATTTGATGTTGAGTGCAGGTAATCCTCAACTTATAACCATTCATTTAGTGACCATTCAAAATTATAATGGCGTTGAAAAAAGGGACTTCTGACCGGTGGTAGCATTTATGAGCATTGCAGCATCCCTACGGTTATGTGATCAAAATTGGGACAGGTTTCCATGATGGTTGCAACATCCCAGAGTCATGTTGTCAAGGCTGCTAACATCGGATGTTCTTGCTTGACATATATGAAAAAGCAACATGTTTTATTTAACCTGTGTATCACTTCTAGAGTTAAAGTCAGACAATGTTAGAATGGGGGGGGAGTATGTACTTGGGGGATAGTTAGCCATAATAATATTTCAGTACAGTATTTCCAAGGTCAATTGTAACCAGAGGGGTTACGGGAGGGTGCCGAGGCTATGTAGCAATAAAAAGATTCTTTAAGGTAAACAAAGCCTCAAAGTTCTTTGAAAAGCTTCTTCTTTCGGAACCATGACACACGTGACCACCATTTGCAACCTTCCCAGCCAGCTTCTGACAAACAGATTCAATGGGGGAAGCCCGATTTGCTTAATAACCGCATGATTCACTTAACAACTGCAGTGATTCATTTAACAATCATGGCAAAAAAATGTCGTAAAATTGGACACAGCTCGCTGAACAATTTGCCTTGCTTAGTAATGGAAGTTCTGGTTCCAATTGTGGTCATAAAATGAGGACTACCAGTATAGGTAGTCCTCAGCTCATGACCACAACTGAGCCCAACATTTCCATTGCTAAGTGAGTTTTGCCCCATTTTACGATCTTTTTTGCTGCAGCTGTCAAGTGAATCCGGCTGTTAAGTGAATCTAGCCTCCCCATGGACTTTGCCTGTCAGAGGGTTGCCAAAGGGGATCAGATGACTTTGGGACGCTGCAATGGTCATACGTATGAATCAACTGCCAAGTGTCTGAATTTGGATCAGGTGACCATGGGAATGCTACAACGGCTGTAAATGTGAAAAACGGTCATACGTCACTTTTTTCAGCGCTGTTGTAACTTTGAACGGTCACTAAATGAACTGTTGTAAGTCAAGGACCACCTGTATGGTCTTCCTTGGAAATGGCCAAATGAGAGCAGGGCATCGATACAAAGTCAAATCGAAACCAGTAATAATACCACTTATTTACTATATTGTGACCTCCATTTTTCCCTCTGCACTTTCTGAACCATCTGCTTATCTATCATCTTGCACAGGAAGCATAGAAAAATTGCTAGCAGAGGATTTCTGAAAATAATCCAAGGATCTAGTTTAAGGGCTGCAGGTTGCCCATGCCAGTTCTATTTTAAAGATAAAGAAGGTCTTACCAAGGTTTTCAAAATTTTTTTTTGCAGTGCCAGAGTTTGAACTGGAAGCTTTTCCACGCAAAGCAGGTGGTCAGGCGAATTGGCAAGGAGAAACTGTGTCCTTAATCCCAGCAAGCCAACATTTGCATCATCCTTCTTTCTTTAAGGGGTGGGCATGGGGGAAAGGGTTTGGTTTTTCTGTTCGGTATTATTGGGGGAGGGTTTTGTAGTTAATAATGGCATGGTTTTTTTAAATGAAAAAGAAAATTAGATATCTAAGGAACTATATAACCTGTGGCGCAGAGGTATCAATGGAACGGGTGAGGTTGAATTTTTGGTCTGCAGGGCTTCTTAGAAAAACAGACTCATTAAAACTAGCAAAGGTTTGATTTCAGAAGAAAATCATGGTCCCGAATCAGCGATTCCTCATTACATTTTTGTAATGGGCTGATATTGAAACTATAAAAAATGGAAGAGGCGACTATATGAGCTCCACAAGCTGGCCGGTCCTTGTTGTAAAGGACTTCCTCAGTTCACACAAGAAGAAGACAAGTTTTCCCACATGCTTTGAGCATGTGTTACTTCCTACCTCCCATAAATTAGATGATTCAGTCCTTTAGTCACACCGATTGTTGCGGTCCCTGCATAGCCATCCATTCTAAAGTCACCTGGCCAAACCGAACACAACTGTTTTTCCTCAGGCAATTAGTCTGACAGGACAAGGATGCTCAGTCACTTGTTCACCTGCAGCTTTGAATTATACACTGAACTTTGGACTCACAACCTCAATCAGTCTCTTGTACACTCTGCTTGCTCAGTTATTCCCTGCTTAGAAGCAAACCCTTTCCTGCTTTGTACATGCTGGCAAACAATAGCTCAGCCAGGATGGCTGAACCAGCAGGATTAAAAGCCAGAAAGTAACTAGCTATGCAGAGCAGGGGAGAAGAGAAGGGAAGTTGTACAATAAATCCAGACTCCTGTTGCTAGATAACCATGGCTTGCCACTGCAGGCAAAGCAGCTTCACTACTGGTAGTTCTCGACTTGTAACAGTTCGCTTAGCGACTGTTCGAAGTTACAACAGCACTGAAAGAAGTGACTTATGACCATTTTTACACTTACAACCATTGCAGCATCCCCATGGTCATGTGATCAAAACTCAACTGCTTGACAACTGGCTCGTATTTATGACGGTTGCAGCGTCCCTGGATCATGTGATCCCCTTTTGCGACCTTCTGGCAAGCAGTCTATGGGGATGCCAGATTCACTTCAGAACCGTGTCACTAACTTAACAACTGCAGTCATTCACTTAACCATTGTGGCAAGAAAGGTTGTAAAATGAAGCAAAACTCAATTAACAAGTGTCTCGCTTAGCAACAGAAATTTTGGGCTCAATTGTAGGTGTAAGCTGAGAACTATCTGTAGTTGGGTGTTTTCTTCTTTCCAGTGATTAATCATCCAGTTAGAAAAAAAAAGTTGCCAAAAGCAAGGCAGAAGGAAAAAATCTGGACTCAATTTGCTGGATTTACCCAAATCCAGCAAATGTGAAGAATTTCAGGAGGGATTAAAAAATAAAATAAAAGGTGCTCAAGCAACCTACCGAATGCCAAAGACACAGTGGACGTAATTCCAGATAGCCCTCCGGAGCATGGATGTGTCCACCCCACTATGCATAGCTATGGTGTTATAGGTCAGATTGTACACCACTTGGAATTTCTCATCCAACAGTTGTCCCACATCAGGATACAGCCGGTTGATAAGCGAGTAACCATGATCTTCCCACGTATAGTCCTGTAGAAGGTGAAATACAGGTTGGAAGTAAATCTGCACTAAACCAGGGTTAATTTTACAATCAAGGTGACATCTTCTTCAAGCCAATGCCATCCAGGAAGTCACTTCAGCTGGATTCATATCCAAAACTAAACCACAAGCCAGTGCACAAACTATTGTGCTAAGCCATGGTTTATAACCTGGCTCATATCCAGTATTAAACTATGAACAGTAGTTCATAAAGCCAAAGGGTGGATTTACAGAACACATTAAGTCAAACCAAACGATCCACCTTTCGATTAGCGTGTGCCATGGGATTTTTGACATGCTGTTGGGGATGGGGATAAGCATGCATCCAAAGCATCACACATGGTACCTGGGCTCGGAAGGTGGGAGGGGTCTGTTCTCCTCTCCTGGTGAAATCCTTGTAGCCAAACTCTGGATCCTCCACAAAGCAGAGGACATTGGGGGGCAGGGAGTGTTCAACAATGTCTACTGGAGAAAGGAACCATAACAAACACATGTTATCCATGATGTGATGCCATTAACAGCACTTAGCACTAGCATTTAGACTTATATATTGCTTCACACTGCTTTACAGCAGGTGTCCCCAACCCCCGGGCCGTGGACTGGTACTGGGCCGTGGCATGCCAGCATCCGGTCCACAGAAAGAAGCAAAACCCCATCCGTGGGATCTAGGCAGCACACAAAATCACGCACTCTCCGGTTTGTGGAAAAACCTTTCTCCACGGAATCGGTCTCTGGTGCCCAAAAGGTTGGGGACCTCTGCTTTTCAGCCCTCTCTAAGCGGTTTGAAGAGTCAGCAATTTGCCCCCAACAATCTGGGTCTTCATTTTGCTGACCTCGGAAGGATGGAAGGCTGAGTCAACCTTGAGCTGGTCATGATCGAACTGCTGGCAGTCAGCATATCATAATTTGAATTTGTACATACTTGTAATAATAATACTAATAGTAGTAGTAAAGTTAGAAGGGACCTTGGAGGTCATCTAGTCCAACCCCCTGCTCAGGCAGGAAACCCTACACCATTTCGGACAAATGGCTATCCAGTCTCTTCTTAAAAACTTCCAGCAGCAGAATTAGTGGCTCCATTACTGCCATTGAGCCACCACAGCTAATACATCGGAAGGTTTGGTTGGATTTTTGAAGGGTTGGATGAGGCTTGCAGACTGAAAGATTTCAGATCTCCAAGCCATTCTCCACCAGATTGTTTGACTAAAAGTCTGAATGGGTGGAAGTCTCACCTCTCTTCAGAGGTCGCCTTGCCTCACCTGAGGGAGTCACAAGCAGGCTCTCTCTTTTTTCCATCTCAAAGCGGGTCTCCATCTCTTCCTGGGTGACACCTTCCTCCTCAAGCTGGCTCTCCTGCAGAAGTTTCATCCTCTCCATCAGCATTTCAACATCCTCCATAGCATCAGTGCTCTGAAAAAAGTGAGAACAGAGAGGGTCATTTCAGGAATGATCCACGGTAGATGGACCCACAGGCCTTACTTCACTATGCTCTGCCTTGGCCATTTGTTGAACTCTTCTATCACGGATGAAACCCCGGTGGGAATGAGTAGTGGGGGAACCAAGCAAACCGGTTCCAACAATCTATATTCTTGCCTTCTCTACAAGAGTGTAACCATCTTCTCTAAATCTGAGGACAGGCTTTTGGACCTCCCCCTGAAAAAACCACAGAACGGCTTCACCAGGAAATTCTTGCAAGTTTGCCCAACACCTAAGCCAGGGGTAGGCAACCTTGGCTCTTTTATGACTCGTGGACTTCAACTCCCAGAATTCCTGAGCCAGCCATGCTGAGGCGAAAGGGAGAGGTTTCCAAGCTGAGCCATGCTGGCTCAGGAATTCTGGGAGTTGAAGTCCATGAGTCATAAAAGAGCCAAGGTTGCCTACCCCTGACCTAAGCAAAGACCCACCAGGATTTTTAAGAGTTCCCTTTCTCTCTAACAACCAGATAATAGTGAACAACGGAGTTTCTGGGCCTGCTTTTGGCTTGCACCTGGCTCCGAGCTAATCTTGGCTTTGCTAATGTGAAAGACTCCCTTTACTGCAACTCAGCCTAAGTGGGGTTTACATGCTGTGCTAAGCCATAATTTACTGGATTCTACGTGAGTTTTGTGAATTCAAATATTGTGGCTGAATCCAGCCCACAGACAGCAGAAGTCAGGAGATGCCTGTCCATTGGTGGGGCATCTTATTATTTATTGTTTTGGTAGTTTGGGAAAATTTAGGGGAAAAGGGCACAAGTTTGTTCAAATCATTCTGGATTCTTTGGGTGGAAATAAAGTTGAACCTGGATCTCCCCAGTCGTTAATTTCATATCCTCACTACACTATGTTGTCTCTCTTGAGAGTGGTGGTGGGGGAGAGGAGGAGGACGACGACTGTAGTAGAAAAATCAGCAGTACAGGTAGTCCTCGACTTACAACCACAATTGGAACTAGAACTTCTATTGCTAAGCAAGGCAGTTGTTAAGTGATTTGTGCCCGATTTTACGACCTTTTTTGCCATGGTTGTTAAGTGAATCACTGCAGTTATTAACTGAATCATGCAATCATTAAGCGAACTGTCTTTGCTTGTCAGAAGCTGGTTGGGAAGGTCACAAAGGACAATCTTAAGGTCACAAACAACCCACGTATGCTGCACCCATCATAAACCCATGCCAGTTATGAAGCCCCTGAATTTTAATCAGATGACCGTGGGGATGCTGCAATGGTGTAAGTCTGAGAACTGGTAATAGGTCACTAAATGAATGGTTGTAAATCAAAGACCGCCTGTATTGTCCAACTTCCCAGGCAGAGGCACGGGGACTGCATACTTCACAAGATATTGTGTCTCTTGTGTTTACTACCACCCACCCGATTTGGGGGCAGTTTTTCTCCACCTTTAAGAGCTCCCTAAATGCATGTATTTGTTTATTTTAAAAAAGAGGATCCATCTCCCCAAAACGGGCTTACATTAGAACTATTTGTCCCCTCTTCCGAGCTGGGGCTACTGTCGCAGCTGCGGGGCGAAGGTGGCTGGAAGATGTGCCCAGCTTCCTGGTCAAGCTCCAGGTTGATGCCACAGCCAAACACGAAGGAGGCCAGCGAGTGGTAGTGAGTCAGCAGGACCAGGGCCTGGATGAGTTCGGCTAGGGACCAGCTGTTTTCCCCAGTTTTTAGCAGGACCTGGAAAAAACAAATTTAAAGCTCTCTGCCTCCGGGAGAAGACAACAGCCTTCCTCTAAAGCAGGAGTGTCCAACTGTGGGAACTTTAAGGCTTGAGGACTTCAATTCCCAGATTTCCCCAGACAGCATAGAACCCCATATCATTATTGGTCTCATTAGGGAAGATACAAAGCCATCTACAAAAGTGAAACGGATCAAGGAAATTCCCTAAAGGATTTGCTTCAACCAGACTCTAAGGCACACCAAGTACTCAGATGCCTCCTTCCTTGTGCAGCCCTATAATTTAGTTTATTTGGTTTTGTCTTAGTATATTACATGAATCCAGGCTTTATGGACCGTAAATCATAGTTTATGGCTTAGTATGGAAAGAACGAAGCTGCTGTGCATGCTGGACAAACTGGTTTTAAAAAATGATAGGAAAATGAAATGTTTGCTGTCTTTCAACTACCTGAAACAAAAATTGCTTCAAGGTGGTTTGCTCCAACTCCACCAGGTTCGGCACTCACCTCAATGTGTTCCTTGGTGATCAGCCAAGGCCGATGGGCTAGGATCTTGTTGATTTCATTCAGGTTCCTGAGTTTCTGTGGGGCATGCTGCAAACCTCGCAGCCAGGCTGGGTCCCCTCCAACCTGGAGAAACTCTCCTATGTGAAAGCCAACCAGGTAGGAACAATGATGCCTGGCAGCTGCCTGAAATAAAAGGAAAATATTGTAAAAGAACTCCCAAGGGCATCAGAGGCTGGTAGAGGCCTCTTACTGTTCACTTTCCCTTGTGGGCTTTTCTTGTAGAAGGGAGAGATGTATAGGAATCAACTTTATACCAAGACTGACTATTGACCCATCCAGTCTACTGCTACCTACAGCAGCTGCAGGAATAAAAATGAGGGTCTTTTTAAAGTTTTGTTTGCAACTTTAGTCCTAACAGTGTTTCTCCAGCCTGGCAACTTGGATGAGTGGACTTCAACTCCCAGAATTCCCCACCAGGCATGGCATTCATTGTAGGAAAAGAACAGGCACAGTGGGGGGTGGGGTGGAATTAAGTAAACCATCATCCTAGAGTCATTACTTTCCCACAAAGGGTCCAAGTTCAACCCCTCTTGAATTCCATTGATCCTTAGCTGATGCCAATTTAGCACTGAACCTTAGTTGACTAGATCCTTGTGTAAAGGCTTGAGCAATAAATCCTAACTGCAACTTAAAGTATGGTCTTGATTCTTCATGCCTGATATTTATGGAGTAAAAGGTGGCATGGACAGCAATTTCTATACACAATAACCACTGAGTAAAGGAGGATTGGGCTGAGAATATCACTTGCCCAGTTTCCCAAGGAGCTATGTGTCCCTGCCTGCTGGTGCTTTGAATCTAAGTCCCTGCGGTGCTCGCCCACTCACCATGATCGCAATGTAATGGCGCTTGTGATATGGCAGTGGCCCATCCATCCTCAACAAGAGATACTGTGTCTTCCAGAAGCTTGTCAGGTACTCTGGATGTAGTCCCATCACCATGGTAATGTTATCCACTCTGCCCGTTGAAACAAAGGCTTCTATGAAGAGACGTCGCTGGGCGCTCTCTACTCCTTCTTGTAGGATCTATAGTAAGGAGAAGGCGCAAGGAGAAGGGCACGGAGAGAATAATTCAGCTGACCAGAACATTTACCTAAACTGTTAAAACACATCAATATATACAAAGAATGGTCAAGTTTGTAAAAAAAGGCCCTGCAAGATAGAACATCATCGTAATTTCTTGCTGGAGCAGCAGGAAAGGAAAATAGTTTGCTTGTCCAAAGATCCCTTGGGATGAATTTTGCTAGCTCAAATGGGGGAAAGGCAGAAAAGAGTTTGTGTAGTGATTAAGGCACTAGGTCAGGGGTAGGCAACCTTGGCTCTTTTATGACTCGTGGACTTGAACTCCCAGAATTCAGGAATTCTGGGAGTTCAAGTCCACGAGTCATAAAAGAGCCAAGGTTGCCTACCCCTGCACTAGGTATACAAACTGGGAGACTGTGAGTTCTAGTCCTGCCTTAGGCACAAAGCTAGCTAGGTGACCTTGGGCCAGTCTCACACACTCAGGCCTTCTGAAATCTTGTCAAGAAAACCTGTCCATTGTAGGGACTTGTCCGTTACTTTAAACCAGCTTCCAAAGAATAAGTACAACAGAGATTTGCCCAATCAGTAAATAAATTTAATAAAGTAAATAAATTCACAAGAAATATATTCAATTGGGAGTGAATACAAGGCAGAGCAGGCTGCAAGGATTTCTTTTGGATCATTTGCATTCCTTATTCATAATTATCTAACAATAGCAATCGAACTGAAGTTGCAGAAATAAAACACTAGCGGAAGGGGGTGGGGTGAGGAGAAGAAACAGGAGAAAGTTTTTATTTGGAAAGATCTGCAAACTGAAGTTGATTATATCTGCAGCAGTAGCTTTCCATAATCTCTCAGCTATTTACAAAAATCGGGATGCTGGTCCACAGTTCCAGATTAGCCTGACTCTGAAATTGTTCTTCCTTCTTCCTGTTTTCAAAACAAGATATGCTCTCTATCCAGTTCTTTTCAAGCATGAATCCATAGCTGCCCAGAGCCCCTTCAAAGTCATGACTAAGCTGTCGTTGTTTATTGTAAAAGAGAAAAAAAAGTTATTAAATAACCTAAGAGTAATCATATAAAGTGATTGGAACATGGGTGTAATTAATTTAAAATTAAATCCACCTGTTTGGAGCACTCCTCACCTGGCACATTTTACCACTGCTGTTCTAAAGGCAGGGATGGGCAAAGCTCAAGACCAACCTTCTAGTTTGTTTTCTGAAGCTCCAATATCCAAGCCTCTGAAGCCCCGTGCAAAGGACACAGACTCAACATGCTGAACCCAGGAATGTCTTTTTAAGCATCAAGGTTGATTTGCGCAGAAAGACAATGATTAAAGGCTAATTCTGGCCATACACCCCCCTCCCTCCGAGTCTGCTTAATTTCAAGAGACATTATTTCATTACTGCCATGAAAAATAATATGGGCATCAGAAATGCTTGCTGATCTTATACCTGTTGGCTAGAAAGTAGATAGGAGACCAGCTCTTGCCCCATCCTCTTTAAACAACTTATAAGAACAAAGAGAGAACCAAAAAAAGAGAGATCCAATTTGGTCTAGTGGTAAAGGCTAGAAACCAGGGGACTGTGACTTCTAGTCCCACCTTAGGCATAAAAGCCAGCTGGGTGATTTGGGGGAGCAGTCCATCTCTCTCAGCACAACCTACCTTAAAAGGTTGTTATGGTGGGGAAAATAAGAGGAAGGAGGAGTATTTGGCTATAGTCACCCACCACATTGAGTTATTTATAAAATAATAATAATAATAATAATAATAATAACAACAACAACAACAACAACAATAATAGAGGAACAAAAGATCAACTCCTAATAGACAAAATGATCTTGGAAAACTGCAAGAGAAGGAAGACCAACCTGAATGTGGCATGGATTGACTACAAAAAGGCATTTGAGTCTCTGCCACATGATTGGATAATAAAGTGCCTAGAAATAACAGGAGTCAGTAGAAACAGCAGAAAATTTGTGCAAAGATCGATGACACAATGGAAGACACAGTTACAGATCAATGGTGAGAGGCTGGGAGAGGTTAATATCAAGAGAGGAATATTTCAAGGAGATTCATTATCACCATTACTATTTGTTATTGCATTGTTTCCTCTGTCAACAATACTGAATAACTCAGGACATGGCTATCAAACATCAAAAACATCTGCCAGACTATCCCACTTCCTTTATATGGATGATCTGAAGCTGTATGGAAAAACATCATCTGAAATAGAATCGCTGCTCAACACTGTCCGTATATATAGCCAAGATATTGTAATGGAGTTTGGCTTGGACAAATGTGCCACACTTACTATCAAACAAGGAAAAATAATGAAAACTGAAGGAATCAAGATGCCCCACGAAAATAACATTAAGAGTCTGGATGAGGAAGAGTACTACAAATACTTGGGTATCCTTCAAGCTGACAACATCAAGCACACTGAAGTCAAGAAAAAGATTAGAGGTGAATACATCAAGAGAGTGAAGAAGATCTTAAAGTCCAAACTCAATGGAGGAAATACCATAAAGGCAATCAACACCTGGGCAATCCCAGTCATTAGGTACACAGCTGGAATAGTGGACTGGACTCAAGCAGAACTAAAAGCAATGGATAGGCAGACCAGAAAAATAATGACAATGAATCATGCCCTTCATCCACGCAGTGACATTGATAGACTTTATCTACCAAGGCAAATAGGTGGGCGTGGAATGCTACAAGTACATCAGATGGTTGAAGAAGAAAAAATGGCTTTGAAAGAATATCTGAAGAACAATGATGAAGATGCACTGAAATTAATATCAGGAAGGCTTACTAACTACTGGAGAGACCAAACTGGCCTACAAGAAAGACCAAATGAAGAACAGAATAGAGGCATGGGAAGACAAAGCACTACATGGCCAATACATTGAAAAAAATAGCTGGGAAAGCAGATAATAATAAAACCTGGCAATGGCCAAGAGCAGGAAAATTGAAGAAAGAGACCGAGGGACTAATTCTGGCTGCACAAGACCAAGCCTTAAGGACAAATGCATACAAAGTCAAAATTGAGAAGACAGCAACAGACAGTAAGTGCCGCCTATGCAAAGAAGCTGAAGAAACAGTGGACCACTTGGTAAGCTGTTGCAAGAAGATTGCACAGACTGATTACAAGCAGCGGCATGACAAAGTAGCAACAATGGTGCATTGGAAGATCTGCAAAAAATATCATTTGCCTGTAAGCAAAAACTGGTGGGATCATAAAATAGAGAAAGTCATAGAAAATGATAAAATTAAACTGCTCTGGGACTTCAGAATTCAAACAGACAAGCACCTGCAACATAACACCCCAGACTTAACAATTGTCGATAAGAAAGACAAAAAAGTCTGGATAGTGGACGTGGCAGTGCCTGGAGATAGCAGAATAGAAGAGAAAGAACTGGAGAAGATAACAAAATACAAAGACCTACAAATAGAAATAGAAAGACTGTGGCAAAAGCAAGCAAGGGTAGTACCAATAGTCATAGGCTCCTTGGGTGCAATCCCAAAACAACTGGAGCACCACTTGAACACCATTGGCATTGACAAATTCGCTATTAGTCAATTGCAAAAGGCGGCCTTATTAGGAACTGCTTCCATCCTGCGACGATATCTGTAATACCATCAAACATCCACATCTGCCTATCCCAGGTCCTGGGTAGGGACTCGATAGGTAGACAAAATGCCAAATCCAGTCTGTACATCTGGCTGACTGTGCGATGATCAATAATAATAATAATAATAATAAAGACCTTATTTAAAGAAATAACTAAAAGAAAAAGTTAGACATTCCCCATTACTAACACAAATGCTTAGCCCTCTGCTGTTTGCTCAGTTCCAGGCTGCAAAACAAAAATGGGGGAGGGGGGAGCAGGGATGTCCCAAACCCCAGCTGACTACAGCAAAATACTGCCTGCTGAAGTCTTTGGAAGCTCAAACTCTCTGCAACTCGCATTGCCAAACTCTCCGGGAGCACAAGGATCCCCCTTCCAGCTGAGAGCCGTGAATTTAGCAGGAAAAGAGGCAGAGATGCTGGCCCTGGACCAGTGGGGAGGGGAAGGACCAGCTGCAGGCAGAGGGGAAAACCCAGCGGATGAGAAAGGGAAAGAGCCATGGCATCTAGCAAACGGGGGAAAGGAGAGGAGCAGAATAACTAGCCAGCAAGCCGGGAGGAAAGGCAGTCATGGCTGGCTTTCTGATAAGTTGTTTTTGCACACAGGGAGGGAAGGTCATTTGATAAATGCGGAGATGACGACACCCCAGGGCAATGCTATCATCTTTCTCTCAGCACACGAGCCAAAAAATAATGAGGAAGCCAAGGTCTTAGCTGCTGCAATAAGTAAACATCACGTCTGTCCTACGTTGCAAGATGCCCGGCTTACTGGCGAATTAACACCTCCCAACGATGCCCAGCCCACAGCTTTCTCGCAGCCCTGGCCAGGTGTTCACAGAAGGGGGGAAACAAAGCAAACCTTTGCCTTGGCCAAGCACCCTCCGTTTCAAAAGGGAGCTTCTGTTTGCTGGCCTGGACTCAGGGACTTCGGAAGAGGGGCACTCCCCAAAGCACTTCAGCGAGGGAGTGCAAACAGATTTGCAAGGAACTGGACAGAACAGCTAATTCTAAATGCCCAACACCCTAGTTGGGTTTACTCAGTACTCTGTTAACCAGTGCTCCCAGCAATGGACCGGAGAGATACAGAGTCCAGTCCTCACCTGATGGTCACTTTCCTTCGCCTCCTTCCAATTTAAATCCTACACTGGTTTAATCGCTGATTGCTTCTGGCAAAGTGAGTTGTAGTTCAAGAACACTGAGGTCTTTTAACAGATCTGTTAGTCAGAAAAGGTGCTACCAAGCTCCTTCTGATGTTAGCTACCCTAGACTAACAGGGATCTCCTCCTTCAGTGTCAATAAGCCATGACTAAAGTAATATGGCTTAGGGTATTATATGAATCTAGATGTTCTGTTTTGTATCATGCCATAAACTGGAATTTATTCTGCTAATTACACTTACACATGCACAAGTGAGACTGCAGAACAAAAGGCATGCCCGTTCTCCAAGTGGTTCGTAGTCTCCAGGAGAAGGACATAGCTGGACTTTGAACTGCCATGAAATAAACTGCAACATTTTGTTGCAGCTCTTATTGAACGCCAAGCACCTTTTCTGCCCTCTCCTTTTCAGCAAGGGAGAAGCCTCTTTTCCCCAAATGTACCCACCCCACCCCACCCCACCCATCCAATCTCTGCATGGTCAAGCAAAGTTAACATGGCAAAGGTATGCCTTAGAAGAGATTAACCAGGCATCCAGGCTGAGGAGAGGAGGGGAGAGGAGAGGAAGAAAGAGGGAGGGGAAAGGGGGAGAGGAGAGGAAAGAGAGAGGAGGAGAGAGGGGAAGGGAGGGGAGAGAAGAAGTGAGGGAGGAGATAGGGGAAGGGAGAGGAGAAGAGAGGGAGAGGAGAGGCGGAGAGGGGAGAGGAAGAAAGAGGGAGGGGAAGGGGAGAGAGGAGAGGAAAGGGAGAGAGGGGAAGGGAGGGAAGAAGAGAGGGAGGGAGGGGAAGGGAGAGGAGGGGAGAGGAGGGGAGGCAGGGAGGGGAGTGGAGAGGGGAGAGGAAGAAAGAGGGAGGGGAAGGGGAGAGAGGAGAGGAAAGGGAGAGGAGAGAGAGGGGAAGGGAGGGAAGAAGAGAGGGAGGGAGGGGAAGGGAGAGGAGGGGAGGCAGGGAGGGGAGTGGAGATGGGAGAGGAAGAAAGAGGGAGGGGAAGGGGAGAGGAAAGGGAGAGGAGGAGAGAGGGGAAGGGAGGGGAGAGGAGAGGAGGAGAGAGGGGAAGGGAGGGGAGAGGAGGAGAGAGGGAAAGGGAGGGGAGAAGAAGAGAGGGAGGGAGGGAGGGGAAAGGAGAGGAGAGGGGAGAGGAAGAAAGAGGGAGGGGAAGGGGGAGAAGAGAGGAAAGGGAGAGGAGGGGGGAGGGGAAGGGAGAGGAGAGGGAAACTGAGAAGCCACCTTACCTCTTCCACCGGGATGAAAGAACTGGGGCCTCTTCCCAGCTGCTGGGGGATTTTTATCCCTCTATCCTGGGAATAAAAGAAAGGATGTTACAAGACACTCCCATCCTGAACACACCCCTGTTGTCCTCAAGGCTTCAAAGGGGAAGCTCCCCACCCTGCTCTCTCGCCAGGATCAAACAGCAGGATCCGATGGGAGGAGGAAGACAAAACCACAAGGCCAAACAGCAGAGGCGGGGGGGGGGGGCAGAGAAGCACACACCTAGCCCAGAGCAATCTCTGCTGATAAATTGTCCCCTGCCCTCCTTCCCTGATGGAACCACTGCAGGAATTGCCTCAGAGGCTCCTGCACAAAACTGGTTAGTCCAGCGGAAGGATCCACTTAAGATGCAGCCCGGTGCACGGCAGGGCGGGCAGACAGGCCGAGGACCAAACCCTCAAATAACAAGCGCCAATATTACCTATACTGTCACCACCACAGACCAGAATTCCTTGCTACTGGGTAAAACGTCCATGCTGTGCAACAGAGCTCAGATTTGCAACAGCCAGAGATGCTGATCACTTCATTTTATTCCCCACCCCCTGCCCTGGAGAAGCTGGAGATCTTTAACCCAGTTTCCCTTTCTTATTTCACAGAGCTGACGGTGCCAAATGAAAAGAAGAAGAAGAAAAAAATCCTCCAGGCTATTAGACTATCAAGACAGCTGATCCTACCCTTTGCTGGGTGAATTCCATGACTAAGTAAACAGAAAGCAGATGTTTCTTTCTTTGAAACGCCTTCCTCCCTGTTCCACCAGCTCAAGGCTGCCTGGATTTTGCCTTAGGCTATACAGGCCAATAGCTCTGGAATATTGTATCCACGATGTTTATTTATATTTGTATTCCACCTTTATTATTTTTACAAATCAGACAGCAAACATATCCAGCACACCTTCCCCCTTCTATTTTCCCCACAACAGCCCTATGAGGTGGGTTGGGCTGAGAGAGAGGGACTTGGCCCAAAGTCATCCAGCTGGCTTTCACGGCTAAGGCAGGACTTGAACGCACCATGTCTCGCCTTCTAGCTTGGTTGCCATAACTCTCTGGACTAAATTGGCTCCTGCCTGCCAAAATTCTTCTCTGCACGAGTGGGATTTGTATGGTACCCCAAAACAGAAGGCAAGGGCCACTTAAGTCCAGAGCTAGCCCATTTTTGCAGTGATGCAATGTGGACTATTGTCTAATTCTGGCCGGTGCAATTTTCTTCCTGCCATATTTACAGGGAATTCTTACCGTGTACAACATCCTGTAGTTCAGTGTTTCTCCACCGTAGGAACTTTAAGATATGTGGGCTCCGAATCCCAGAATTTCTGATGGAGACATGCTGGCTGGGGAATTCCAGGAGTCAAAGTTCACACATCTTCAGGTTGCCAAGGACGAAAAATACTGGGTTAAAGTAAAGGATGGGAACAACAGATGAATTCTTGGAATTGGAGTCCACACATCTTAAAGTTCCTTGGGTTGAGAAATACTGGTGCAATTCATAGGAGAATGAATTAGCCTACAATTTTAAGCTTGCTCGAGAGATTTGGTTTAAGCAGCCAATCATTTTTTTAAACAAACAAACAAACAAACAAACAGGGCAGAGTCTGAGCAAAGGATGTATTAATGCACTTGCAGAGAAAGCCTCTTCTGAACATGGTGGAGCTGGACCAGAACTGTATGCCCAGTTTTGAAGGTCCTTTGAAACTTAAAATTTCACTACCGATGGTTCACTTGCTTCTTTCTCATTCCCTCCCCCCAGCTGTGAAGAAGAGAGAGGCTGACCCAAACAGCTGAACTGGATCTTCTTGAGGAGTGCCAATGGGAAGGAACCACAATTATCCTTCCCTAGACATGAGAACTTGAGTGAGGCTCTTAGTAGTAGAAATTCATGTGCAAATCTAAGCACCCCCAACATGGAGACCCTTCAAAACTAAGACTACCAGGATCTTAAAACAAAAATCAGCATATTTTCATTTCTTCTATCCTCCCTGCTGGAGACATTTGATATGGCCTCAGTGCTCAAGCAAAAGGGAAAAATTGCAACATACGTATAGATTCCTATATTACTTTTAAGACTACAATTTATATACCCATGCCTTCATCAGATACACTTAGCTGTGAAGTGGAATTTACGGAATAGGTAGGGTTCACCACAGTGTGTAACAGGGCTCTGACAGTGTAAGCTACTGGTACTTCTCTGGATTTTTTTTTCCCCTATGGAAAAATACAGATGGAAACACTTCTGTGCCAATGTAGAATGCTTTCTATTTGCCAGTGAAAATTTACACTGGAGCAACCACCTGTCTGGGTTAGGGATGACTAATTTCTCTGTTTCAAACTTTCATAATCCTAAAAAAGAATTTTTTTCATTAACATTTTACAGCAACCAAATGTGACAGGTGATTAAGCGACTGCTATGATAGAGGCAGTTGAATGTTTAATTGATGCAGCTCAATTGCAAATGGGATGAACAGATAGGCTGTCAGAGAAATAAAACTGAGATATGATTCTGAGTTCAAGTTTGTTTTTTGTTTTTGTTTTAAAAATCAGCCACTCTGATCATACAACTGTTAATTCTGTTTTGTGAATATTATGGTGCTAAAGGGAAATTTCCATTAGAGACTTTTTATAGAGTTCATGCAAATGGCTAAACCAGATTTTTCAAACTGTCATAGGATGAACAAGCTATAATGTCTTGGTATATTCTAAAGCAGGGTTAGGCAACTCCTGGTCTTCCAATATGTGGGACTACCACAATTGATACTCTGGTTTTTCCACACTAAAATCAAAATAAAACAATTAAATCGTAGCTTAGCATAATAGGTAGTCCTTGACTTACAACCATTCATTTAGTGACTGTCTGAAGTTACAGTGGCACTGAAAAAAATGACTTAAAACTGTTACTCACACTTACAACCACTGCAGCATCCCCATGGTAACATGATAAAAATTTGAAAGCTTGGCAACCGGCTTATATTAATGTAGCATCCTGGCCATTTGCGACCTTCCCAGCTGGTTCCAGCAAGCAAAGTCAATGGGGGAAGCCAGATTCTCTTAACAATCATGATTCATTTAACAATTGCAATGATTGACCTAACAGCCAGGGCAAAAAAAAGTTATAAAATTGGACGCAACTCACTTAGCAACCATCTTGCTTGGCAATGGAATTTGTAGCCCCAATTATGGTCGTAAGTGAAGGATTGCCGGTATGTTCAAAGCAGATAACAGGAACTGTTAACTGGTAAAGGTAAAAATGTAAGTGGCCATCACTTGCCTTCCTTTATCCCCTGCAGGGAAGCACATTCTCCAAAGTGAACTTGAGGCAGAACTAACATTTGAACTGGCTCACATCTTCTTAGCCAACACACTAGAACAGGGGTCTTCAAACTTGGCCCTTTTATGACTTGTGGACTTCAACTCCCAGAATTCCTCAGCCAAGCACTCTGGCTGAGGAATTCTGGGAGTTGAAGTCCACAAGTCATAAAAAGGCCAAGTTTGAAGACCCCTGCAGTAGAACCACCCTTCTTTACAGAACTATTTCCCTAAGCATGTCTCTTCAAGAATGAGGGCTTTTTGCGCTCAATAACCGCAGCTTCCAATCTCTTACCACAGAGAAACTTTTACAAAGAAAATTATACTCAGCCAGGATATGTTTAAAGCCGATCAGCTCCAGGGCTTGTTAAGGTTCTTTTGATGTGGCTCCTTAGCAAACACGTTCCTTACCACGGAATCAAGGGATACAATCAACCTTGTGATTTCTTATGCAAACTTTATCCTTTTTTTTTTCCCCTTATAGTTGTTTTTAAAATCTTACAGCACCATAAAGACAGCAGCTTTCACAGCATGTGAGATACTGGTTTAGTGCATTGTGTACAACAAGGCACCCTAGTTTATAAAGATGGTGTATCACTTAGTATACTGTTTCTTAATGCACGGTCCTAGGAGCCCTGGGGTTCCCCCAAAACCCTCTCAGGGGGTCCTTGAAATTAAAATTATTTTCCAACGCTTGTTGAAAAAGAATACAATATTAAAATTCCATCTTATAATTGTGAGAAGCGGTAATAGCAGTGAATACATCAATTTCAACTTCTAATATAGTAAATACTGATAAATATAACTGACACTGTACAAACAAAAGTTTTTTGAGGTCTTCCCTAATTTTTAAAAGTGGGAAGGGGGGGGGGGAGAGAGAGAGAGAGAGAGAAAGAAAGAGAGAGAGAGAGAGAGAGAGAGAGAGAGAGAGAGAGAGAATATTGTGCAGATCCGTGCTCCTGATTTAATCGATTAGAATCATGAACAAATAGAATCATAATTAAGTAGAACTATATACTTCACGTGAATCCAGCCTGCAAGATTTTTAAAATAGTTACACTTCTGGAAACTATCCTAAAAAACTGGCACTCAAAGTGCCACTCAAAGTGCCAAAGGCACAAGCCTACTTGGAAACCAAAATCTCATAGAGATACACCTGTTTGGGCAGAATCCATGTCAAATACACCTTGTGTGAAATTGTTTGCCTTTAAGTAATGCTGAAAGTGTAAGAAAAGCTGTCTTGGATTTGAGGGATGGAGCAGGACTCATTTTTTCTCCTCTTCTCATGAAGCAAAGATCTCCACATTTTACCTACTCAGGGTTCACTAAGGAGATAAAAGCACACTGAGTCAACAGTTCATAGAAATGTTGACTCCTGGGTCTGAAAAAAAAAATGGAGACAAGCCAGAAACCCACAGCCGGAAGCCCAAGCAAGATTTTCTGGAAGACCAGCTTTTACTAGTCTTCTCTGCTCCCCCCCACCAACCCTCCTCCCCCAGCCCCACTCTGCCCCTCCCAGCAGCACACATATCTGAAGTGAGCAAGTGTGACTTAGTGGAAAATAAAGCCTTCAGAACTGCTGACTCTGCAGACATCTTTTCCAGCCAGCCAGCTAGAGTGGGCGAGTGCACACGTGATCCACGAGAGGGATAAAAGGAAAACAGCAGGGCAACAGCCAAGCAGCTGGCACAGGTTGCCAAATTGCTAGTTCAAGAGTATCCTTCTGTCACCAG